GGTGACCAATAATGCACGCATAATGCGCAGGCAATTCTGATTGCTACTTTTCTTTGAACTTTTATGGCTCATGGCTCGTTTCCATGTCGTTGCCCCATAAAGTATTATGGACATAGCTAGGCTGCACAAAATTCTCCGGTTTCCTTCTCGTGGTCCTCCAGTGTTGAATAGAATTCTGCTAATATTTGCTACGACCCTTTTTGTTTTTTTTAGCCACATTTTTGACATGTTATGGTCAAAGTATACTCCAAGATATTTGACTTCCTTTTGGCTCGTTACTAATACGTCTTGCACCCTAACATTGATTTCCTTGACAGTATGTCCTCCTGTTAAGATAACCATCTCAGTTTGTGGGGCTAGGGCTAGCCTACAGCGTCGTGCTCAAATTTCGTCTTCGTGCGTTACGGCCATCATATCCACTCTTGTTGCACAAACTACTATTTCAACACGTTGTTTTGCATAGAGTCAACAAGTTGTTTTTACAGTTATTTGATATTTGCTGGTCTTGAAACCATATCCGAATTACAGCTTTAATATTTTTGTTTGTCATCGGCATCAGCTACTAAGATTATTAGCCTCGTATTCTGTACAGTCTTTGTTACTGTTTCCCAGTGCCACTTTAGGAACAACACTCCTATTTAACATCCAACGGTGAATGGTCGAGTGGGGAATCCTATCTATGTATTAGATAAATTAAATGATAATCCTGGCACCGGTGCGGTGCGATTCCTACTTGAAACCTTCGATCACAAAGCCATGACTCTAACCACTCAGCCAACCCACTCTGCAGCCTTAATTAGTTTTGATTTTATTGTACAATATCCTTAAAGAAATCCAGCTTCTGCACTAGTTCACCGATTTTTCATAGGATTTAGATCCGGTGAGTTTGCTGGCCATTCAAGACAGGAAATCGTTTTGTCTTCGAAACATTTCATTATGGCCTAGAATCTTGTTAAAAAATTGCTTGTTTGACCTTTGACAACTTTTTTAGTTTTGTACCTGCTATAAAGGTACCACATCTCTTGTATCGGTCGAAGGCATTATGTACTTTTAAAAATACAGAGACATAATAAAACAGAGGCTGGAAGCAAATCCCAATGATCAAGCAGTTTTTCAAAATAGGATACTGTGTAATTCGCACAATACTGTCTGTAGCTCCTGACTGGTCTTCCTCACAGCTATGTAATAAGTTTTATCAACATATGGATCAGAAAAAATCACACTCCTATTAGACTGGGTTACGATAGTCTAAAGGTGGGTACAGATCTGAGCACGTACGCGTATGAGGCAAGCCGAGGGCGCATAAACATGCAGATGTGGACGGGCATCCGAAGCGCGGCAAATTGCCTCGTTGTGTGCGCCGTACGGCCTCGCCGCGATCCGTTTATTGTTGGTACATCAAAGGGAGGCAATGCACAGTACGTGCTCAGTCTGGACGGGGAATTTGTTTCATAGAGCACCTTATAGATTATAGCGAATTTTAAGGATTTATTTTGCACTAAGTGGAACCAGGAAAACGTTTTGCTTCTCCTAGATTTAAATAACCAGCATTACATCTTAAGAGAGCAGAACGCCAGTTCTATTACAACACCATAAAACAAGAATATCCTTGGCAGGAAATCGGCCTTCGATTCCTTTCTCTCCTTTTTTCTTTAGTGTGTTGGATAAAATAATAAAACATGCACTCAACTCCGCGACGTCATCCTTATATTTAATTTTTGTTTTAATTTTACGAATGTTCTGGGTATACGGTTGCGTGCTCGCGAATTTACTGGATCAGTGACGAACAGCTCCTCGTGCTCCCACCATTACTGTATACAAAATGCATCGCACGACGCACGAGGCATTCGGTTCGGCCTCGGCTTGCCTCATACGCGTACGTGCTCAGATCTGTACCCGCCTTAAGGGATATTGTGTAAAGAAGACACTGTCGCTAATAAAAGCTAAACTAGCATCCAGATGATATCAAGGCTCTTCTATTAAGTAATCGATATCTCAACAAACACCTGAAAATCGTTGGTTTAAGAATACACACAGATAATTTGCAATAGAGGGTATATCCAATAAATTTATAAATTTAATTTTATTTATTTTCTGCTAAAAATAATGATACGGTATAAAGTTCAATTGACTATAAATCGAAAGTTTAGTATTTTACGGCTACGACGCTGTAAAAGTTTTAATTTTAGCAAATTATAACGACATAAAAAAGTAATAAAAATATTAAAGCAAAAACACTTTTAATTGTTTTCCATAATTGAAAAAATATCAAATAACAAATAAACATTAGGTTAAGGTAATAATAAATAACAGCTTTTTGCAGTTCAAATAAATTTAATTTTGCAAACGTGAATGTTGTTTTTATGGTTAAAGTGAAAACCTAAGTACCTACTTTGTAACGCGGATGTCCTATTTTTAGGTACAGATTCGGAAATAGTAGTTTGTACAACAAGAGTGGATATGGACAATCCACTCTAGTTGTATAGTATATTTTTTCTATGACCCACTAACAAAAAGTTATAAATAAAAAAAATATTTTAGGTTATTAAGATAAAATAACTAATTTTAAAATAATTTATGACTTTTATTAATTTTTAAAATAAAATAAACGAAACAAAAAAGAAAAAAAGTTAATTTCTTTTTCCCCATCCGAGAATAGAACTGCAATCCTCTGCGAGGAAGGCAATAACGCTATCCACAAGACCACCCACTCTTTTATTTTTGTTGCTTTAATACTCGTAATTAAATTGACTTTATAAAGTTTTATTTAAATTAACAAATTTTTTATAATTGAAGATGAAATAAAAAAAGACATGCTAATATTTATTGATTCTACACAAGAATAACCCATTTTAATGTATGTTTAATCTCAATAACTTAAAAATATACTGACAATTAGTTTGACAGAATTGTCATTTATTTAAAATTTTAAAAATTATAGCAGTCGGTTGATCAATTTAATTTTTTTGCAGTGTTCTCACTACCTAGAATGGATAATATGAAATATATTCGTTTAGTTGAGCATACTTTTTCGTTTTGTAATCTGTGCGTAGATAAGGTAATATCCATGTGAGTGTAGAAAAAATAATTATTGCTATTGATGCGGAATTATCGCACACTAATATCTATATATTTATTTTTTAAAGCATTATTATGGGCTAAGGAACAGTTGTGTAACATAATGTCACAAAAATATACCGGGGACGTCTTAAAAATACAGGATGTTACTTAGCGTGTACACTACGTATGGATCAAAGGTAATCGCTTGTAGTTATTTGCTTATGTATGTCCACATACTCACCTACGTCTCGGTTCTTATTGGAATGTGGTAGGTAATGAGCAATTCTTAAAGAATTGACAATGGCGGCGTGGACAAAAGATTAAACGTTTGAATTTATGGAACTGTTTCTGGGCTAGTCTAAAATGGAATCTTAAATTTAAAAATCACCAAGATTGCGATAAACAACCAGCATCTACGATATTCCTCCTTTTCTTTAAAATTTCAATATTAACACTGTTTATGTGAATATTGTATATTCAAATCACATAAATGGCAGGCTACAATCAACACGTCATGGAGTTCAATCTTGAACAATGGACAGAGATTATACGAACGGGAGTTCGTGTGGATAATAATCCATTATAGAGTGACCCATCATGTATAGGAGCCTTAACAACAATAATTTTTTATTTTATTTTAAATAAAAGTTGTGATCACCAAAAATCTGTAAAATACAATCGAATTTAAATAAATGACTTTACTGCTATTTCATGCAGGCAACATAATAATTATTGTAGAAACTATTTCTGCATTTAATTCTACAAAAGCAATTAATCAACTATTGGTTTTTCAACATCGCTAAATGGAATGGATTAATTTTTTTAATATGTTAACCATTTAATTCAGTACGAACGCGACAAGCTAATAAAACATCAATTATTAATCGTAACCGCACATATCTATTAAGTAAACATATATATCTACCTGTTTATGACATACAATTAGATAGCGTAGTGTGTCGATTGCACTGGTATAAAAGCTTGATCTTCAATTACATCAATATTTCATTACGGTGTTTCAATGAAACATGAACAGTAGGTTTATAACATAAAATTAATTTTTATAATCTAGGATCCATTAATTATTGTTATTTTAAGTAAAAAAAAAAACTATTAACAAAAATTTGAGATAAATTGTTGTAATGTACATCGTGTAATGAAAAATCTCTAATAGTCTTGAGAAATTTTCAATCAATAGTTATTTAAGAATTTTTTTATAGGATGGTTCAGTTTATAAAAATTTGGAACAAATAATGTAAATACTAAATTAGTAGGACTAGTTGACGCATATTCATTTTATTTAAATATTTAACGACATCAGTAAGCGCTTTGCTTAGTAGTCTTTCCTATCTTTTTCATCAAGTGGAGGACGAAAATGTCACTTTAAATTAGGTGTTTTTGTACATGAAGGAAATGAACTCTAATCTTAGTTCAAGAATAGACAGAATTGAAAAAACTAATTTATCTCTGCAAACGACGATTGAGAACGAAATAATTGATTTCAATTAAGAGTGTCAACACTCGAAGAAGAAAATAAAAAACGTGTAAAGAAAGTAGAGAGAACTGAAAAGAAATTAAAACTAAATAATTTAATATTTTATGGAATTCCTTAAGAAGAATCTGCAAACGAAGACTTGATTAGAACGATACGAAAACTTTTAAACGATAACTTTTCCATTACTATTAATATTGTTGAAATAAATAATCTATACAGATTGAGAAAAAAAGGGAAATGGGAATAGACCAACTTTAGTATCCTTGACTTCATTTTTAAGAAAACAGGAAATCTTACGTAATGGAAAAAACTAAAAGGTTCTGGCATAATTGTTACTGAAGACTTCACGGAGAAGACTCTAGTGGAAAGAAAAATATAATTTTCATAAGTCAATTGATAATTGAAAGCAAAGCTTTTACTTATCAAAAAATTGAAACTAAATTAGATATTTTCCAATCTCAACCTCAACGAGAAGTTCTAAGCGAACTTCCAACTCCTACAGCAAATTATCTATCAGAAGAAACTGATATTGACCTAATAACTGACAACTTGGAAGCAAATTGTTCCAACGCTTACGAAGTCAAGGCCCAACCACCCAACAAGGAAGTTGTTACACAAAAGAATACTGTAGTTATCACTAGAGCATCGTCAGTGTCAGTGCCTAAGAAGTCAGTGAGAAAAGGGAGTCCTTTTAGCAGGGGTATCCATAAAAAATAAAAGTTATATTGTGTATATTGTGCAATTGTTCATATTAATGTTCTGCTATTTGTAGTTCAATAGTATTTTAATATTTTAGTAATTTTTCAACTCTGTTTTGAGAATAAGTGTAGTTAATATTAATGTTAGGTCTCTTGTATTGCATCTCAATGCTTTTAAAGATTTAGTTTATTGAAATATGATATTATTGGAGTAACGGAGATCTGGCTTTTAAATAATATTCCGACAATAGTATACAACTTAATGGTTATCGACCATTCAGATCGGGGAAGTAGAGGAAGTACTTACTAATCTACATTAAAAATAACATGAAAGCCAACATTATTCAGGGTCTTCATTTAAATAACACTAAAGAATTGTGGATTTTCTTTGTATTAGATAAGAAATTAGCATTTTTTATACACCACATTCCCACACAGTTTCTAACTTCCTGGAAAACTTTGAAATGTCTCTTGGTATCGTTGCACCTAAATTTAACCAAATAATCTTATTAGGTGACTTTATTATCCATGCTATGACGCCTGATAGTTGTTACTATAAGAGGTTTGATACTATCTTACAATCTTACAATTTATCTCAGTTAATTCATGAACCGACACCCTATGGATCGACAAGTGCTACTGCTTTGGACTTGGTAATATGCTCTGAAACTATCAAGGGTAAAGTATCTGTAACTGATGCATCTATTGTAGCTGATAATTGTATGTCATCTCTAACATTTTCCAATAAAGTTCCAAAGAAAATCCCTCCTTTATCACGTTTAGAAATTTCAAGTCTTAACATTGCGCATTTTACTGCTGAATTAGAAGCAGCTAATTTTGATAAAAATTTTATTTGCGTAATATTGATAAATTTGATTATTTTAATAATATCCTTTACGTCCTTTTTGATCACCATGCATCACAAAAGACTAAAAATTTCTTCTGCTCCTTGGATCACATACACAATAATTAAGCAAATGATGTCCCTTAGAGACAGACCATTAGTAAGGTTTAAGAGAGCCGGTGTTCAGGGTCATTAGGAGTATTACAAACAGTTAAGAAATTAAACTAAGTAAACAAAGTAAACAAAGAGAAAAAAAGGCTTATTTAGAATTTAAGTTAAGAAACAGCGGAAATCAAACAACATTCTGGATGGAATTACGTAATCTAGATATTTACTCTAAATCTAAGAACCATTCTTTGCCAATAGAACTAAAAAATCCAAAAGAAATTAACGAGTATTTTGTAAATGCATCGAAATCTGGTTTTCCTGTGTATATATTAACAATCGACTATTCCAAATAATATGTTGCCTAATATTATTTCTTTTAATTTTTCATTAAAGAACAAACTAGAAATCTATAGAACTATATTATCGTTTAAGTCTAAAGCTGTTGGGCCAGATCTTTTAAGTGTTAAAATGTTACTGTATGCTTGTATTTACAGAAACTTAATCGCTCCAGTATCCTTCAATTTTCACATTTTTTGACAGACCAAGAAAAATGTCTTAACGTTATTTAATTTTCCATGTAAATATATATTAGATTCATCAAAAACAGTTGACAAAAATGTTGACGGTGATATAAACAAAAATAAAGAAATGACAAAGGAAAGAGGTTAAATAATTTCTTAAGTTTGTCTTAACTTATAAACATTACGCCTACTGCATTTTCAGGCATTAGCAATCGGAAAAACAAGTTTATCAAACTGGTATTCACTTAACAGAACTAAACTATACATTCTAATATAGAATTCGCTTACAATTCTACGTCATAACTATTATTTCAAATTTTAAATATACATATATCATTAATAAATAAATAATATGTGATTTGTTTGGTTTAAAAATATGATTCCTACATTCCTATAATATTAATAAGAAACTAAACCTCCAGTAGGCGGCGATAGCCAACGAATTACTTCGCCAATTGATGACGTAGCTGTGTTCTTCTTATTATAATTGGATCCGATCAAAAACATATTCATCGAAAGATATTTTTATAATATTTGAGAATAATAATTATACTTTTCCATACGCAATATGTCAAACCAATATTTTATTTATTCATGAATCAACGACTTTGGCAAGTTTCCTTGGCGCCTTTCCTCATTTTCTCACATAATCTAATTAACATATTATTATAATATGCTCCCGGGATAATTTTACCCTCTTCCAAATATTTTTATAAAATACTCGCATTTGTGCCTTAGAAAATTAAAGCCAACCTTGCTACCTGATTTTTATTCATGGAATATTTATGGTTGTGGAAAACTAAAATGCTTTAACTCTTTGAATTGCGCTTTAATATCTGATGTGAAACTCATGGTCATAGGAAATTTGCAATGCCTGGGGCTATACGCTAGAGTCCAATTTTTCGTCGATCTGCTAAAATCATAACATGTACACAATCAATATTTTCCGGAGTGGTCACAGGAATTGGTCTTCCAGAGCGGTGCTCACCTTTAACATAAATCTTTCTATCTTAATCCGTTATCGTACGTAAAATGTATGTGTTGTTTGTTGCAAAGGAGCCCTCTCCAATAATTCCTTTAAGTTACACTCTTTAACTTTAAGTAGTGCCTCAGGTAAGATCAACTTGTGAGGATTTATAGTTGTTAGTAACAGGAAATATCGCCTGTTTTTGAAAACTTCGCACGTAAAAATTACGCATCGATACCAATATACCATTTTAAATGTAATTTTAGGCTTTGCTTATTTTGTAACGACTATCGCTTTAAATGGCCATGATAAACATGGCTTCATACTTATACAATGTTCAAGTAACAGGTGGTAAACGTCTTGAATACCTGGTAGAGCTTCATAAAAGTCTAACCAAGTCATAGTAATCATAACGTCAACAAATAGGAAACGTGAGTACAGATCTAAAAACAATCCATAAGCGCAGTATTAGAGCTAAAAACAGCAAACCAGACTGGGGGAACAAAAGGAACCAAGGAATATTGACACCTTTTTTGTACTTCATAGAGAAGAACGACAACTACCTATTGAGTAAAATGAACTAAACTAGTATGTAGAGAATACCAAATAAAAATATACCAGTAATGTAAATAAATATGTATGTTCTCTTTAGTTTTAATTTCAGTTACTGTAATATTTTCAATTCTAATAATTTTGTTTATTAAAATGTGATAATTTTATAAAGATATGCAAAAATGTGCAAATGCGTTAATTTTACGCCTCAATATAAACAAGCAGTATGTTATGTTATATTAGGAATGGGGTGTTAATACACTGCCACCTAAAAGATCTATTGTGGCCCCTTCTATCGCTAATGCACCGAAGAAGTGCCTCAATGTCTATAACGACCCTTCCAATCCTATTTTCTCAAGGAAGTGTAGGATTTGAAATGGCTTTAAGTTAGGTAAATCTCCCTCTTCTATTTGATATCTTCCTTGGATTCTTGAGTGCTACACATTCAGTTAGGATGTGAATGGAGGTTTCGTCCTCCTCCTCTTAGAATCTGCACACACTATCCTCTACTACTCTCAGTTTACTTAGGTGTCCTTTAAGTCGGCAATACCCGGTAAGTATCCTTGTTACAATACGTAATCTGTTCTTGTTCAGGAAGATGCAGGCTTCCGATCTTTTCCGGTCCTATTCACCCAGAAGTATCTTGGCCTGTCTCAGCCCCAAGAGATTGTTCCAATTATCGGTTCTTCTACTGCCCAGTTCTTTTTTATTCTCTTCTAATAATATGTTACTGCTGATACCGCAGAACGGCTCAGGTCCTATCCTAAAAAGGGTATGTGTGGGTGTTGGGTGGGGGTTGGCATCGGATTCGAAGTCAATTTGCCACAGATTGTTTATGGAATTATTACAATATATTATATAACTATTTTTGTTTTATATATAAATTATACTAATAGGTCATATTGTCATATCTTGTCAAAGGTATTAAGAAGAGTGGTAATATTAAGTGGGGGGAATATATTAAAGTTTTTTAGCTCAGATATTAATTGTATTATAGCATTTTTATTAATAGAACAATGAAAGAATAGGTGGTTCAAGTCTGCAATACTTGAATTGTCGCAAGGACAGTAGGGATTCTCTAAAATTCCTATTTTGTTCAGATGATGAGGAAAGCGTCCGTGATTTAGTTTAAGTCGCGTTATAATGGTAGAATAGGTTATAGAAGTAGAGAAATAGAGGTTTGGAATATCTTTTTGGAGGGTGGGATGTATTAAAAAGTAATGGTTTTTTGATCTACTAACAAACTCATTATATAAAGTCGACCATTTGTCCCTAATGTCCTTCTTTATTTTACAAAAGATATCATTATTATTAGTAGGAGCTTTTGTGATATTTTCAATACTACATGTTTCTTTGGCAGCCTCATCTACTATTTTATTTCCTAAAATACCTGAGTGGCCTTTAACCCAAATGAATTGTATTTTTATGTTTTTTATTTTGGCATTTTTAATTGATTCTTTAATTCTTAATATGATTTCATTGTTATAATGTTTCAATGGGCATCCTTGTCGAGCCTGTAGTACCGATTTAGAGTCAGATAATATTATAGCTTTCAGAATTGAATTGTTTTTAACCCATTCTAGTGCTTTTTGTACTGCTAAAGCTTCGGCCGTAAATATTAAAGATATGTCTGAAATACGATATTTTTCAATATGATTTGTGGTTAAAACAAAAATTCCGAAACCGATTTTACTTTTGGATCCCTTTGTATATATATTTATCTCATAGTCCATGAATCTATTTAATATTCTTTTCAAGATGGCATTATTCGAAGTATGTAGGAAATATAATGTCGGGTTTAACAATTATTGTTTCAAATGTATTAGAGGGTGTTTGAGCCCCTTTCCTTGTAAGATCATCTACAATCTCGTTACCCTGTACCCCGTTATGTCCCGGGACCCAAGTGAGAGTAACTCTATTTTTCTCGCCTAGCTCATTAATTGTACTAGGCATCTCCGGATCATTTTTGAGCTGATTACGTAAGAGCTCAGTGCTTTGATGGCTGCTTGACTATCGGTCATGATGAT